ACAGCTCCGTGTCCTTCTGCTGTTGCGGCCCAGAGCAGGAGCAGAACTGCAGGTGGGGTCTCCCTAGAGCGGAGCAGAGGGGGAGAATCCCCTCCCTCGTCCCCCTGGCCACGCTGCTCTGGATCCAGCCCAGGATGGGGTTGGCTTTCTGGGCTGCCAGCGCACACGGCCGGCTCATGGCCAGCTCCTCGCACCCAGCCCCCCAAGTCCTTCTCCTCAGGTCTGTTCCCCATCCATTCTCCCCCCACAGCCTGTCCTTGTGCTGGGATTGCCCCAACCCAGGTGCAGGACCTTGCCCTTGGACTGGTTGAAGTCCATGGAGTTGGCACGGTCCCACCTCTCCAGCCTGTCCAGGTCCCTCTGGATGCCATCCCTTCCCTCCAGTGTGTCATCGCACCACACAGCTCTGTGTCATGTCACACTTGCTGAGGGTGCACTCGATGCCACCATCCATGTCACTGACAAAATGTTGAACAGCGTTGGACCCAATCCCGATCCCTGAGGAACACCACCCATCACTGGTCTATGATGGTACATTATGCCAACATGTAGCACAGACATACCATATAAGATTTTCCTACTTACAGCTCAGATCAGGGCTCCAACTGGCTACACACTACCTTACCGGTTTGGACAGAGACTTCTGGAATGTGTCAGCTGCACAGCAACTCCCTCCAGGAAAGAGGGAGTATAGAGCTTCAGCATCATCATTACTCTCAGCGAGGCAACTGCTCTCCAATGCACACCCCCAGACTAAGTAAACATTAAGGATTCCAGCACAGAATCCAAGTCTTAATTAGAAGCCAGCCTCTGTGTTGTGGCAGGATAATTGCTGGACGCTGGAACCGAACTCTTTCATGCTTGCTAATGCACTCAAACGCCGTGCTAAGCCAATACATCTAATTATTCCATTACAGAGGGAATAATTTTGCTACTAATCTACAAAGTCAAGGGACATTTTAATAATAGACCCTTTAGTCCTGTCTATAACGCATAAAGAATTTTATAACCTTGTTTTAGCAACTCCTGATACCGTTCTGCACACAAACTATTTGTGTGACTACACGTTTAACATACATGTGATGATATACGTACACATATGTGTGACCATGCTCTGCGGAGCTGCCCAAGAATGAACATCATCTACATCTCACCCTACTGAGTCTCCTCCTACCGTACGACCAGCTGCCGAACGCTCCGGCGGTCACGACTCAGTGTGAGCCATCGCCAGAGGAACCGAAAGGCAGGATCCCACTAGGCGCTGACTCAGGAAGGACACACAGCTCCAGCGCTCTCTTCTCGATCTGCTAGTAAGCATATTTGCTTACATAACTAATAAGCTCAAACAGAAATTCCTTTCATGTAAACACCAGATCAGTTCCGCAGCGTTTGCCACTTGCACCAGTTCAGTGTTTGCCAAGTGATTTCTCTTCATTAACACAAGTGCTAAAACTTCATCTACCAGGTCAGAATTTCAAGAGCCGCAGCTCAGCTCGCAACATACAACCTGATTTCGTTGCCATCAGCTCAAAAGGCATTTCGTTGCTTTCCTCGATGCAAAAGCAACTCATCACCTACCAGAAATACACAGCTTCAGCTCTCCAGGAACATTCGCTCACACAGTGCTTCCAGCAGAGTAGGAACACCAGTTTACACTGTGTCACCATACAGTGGAAGCGTTTCAAGCCACCACATTCCTCCTTGACTGCTTTGCCCACATTCTTTCACTGTATCCACATCAGAAGCACTCCTCAGACCCCTGTTTCCCCAATGTTTTGAGCTCATGCCTTAATCCCTTCAATCTAAACACCAAATCTGGATTATCAAGACTCCAGCTGCTTCAATAATTCCTCTTTTCTAAAGGAAAAGAAACCCCAAGTGATTTGCTGCAAGGTCAGGGATCTTTCTGAACCTCAGCCAACAAGTTGACTCTGAGATGTTGCTGCTTAGGGAATGAAAAATTCCCTCCGATGCCCTTTACAAAGGCTTCCCAGTGTCCCGGGAAGTTCTAGTCCCTCAGCGGTGCGTCGGCAGTAGTCTCAGGGCTGGTGGCAGCCAACACATCACTCACCTGTTTTACGTTGTATCCTGCTTTTGCACTAGTTTCGATGAACATTACATTCAGCTCTTTGGCTTTTCTTTCTCCTTCCTCAATGGACACTTGTCTGGGGAAAATAACATAGAATTAGGGGAAAAAAACCTCAAAACAAACACACTGAAAATGAAGATTTTCATCTTCAACCCAAGGAGCCGACTGCTTCATTACAGTTCTGAAAGCATTTAGTGTTTTTTTCCCTGTACACAGATGCCACATACTGAGCACATCTGTAGACAAGTATCACCACTTCCTTGTATCAGATGGAGTTCCACGGCACACGCAGCTCCCACAGCAGAACTCGGCTTCCCAGCGGAACAGCTAGGTGGGCCAACTAGACCCCTCCACATCCCCATTCGAGATTTATGTCTGAACGATTAGCAATCAACAGATTTTAACACCCAATAATGATCGGCAACCTGCAGCCTACAAAACGGTTTTAGCACATGACCGAGTGTAACCCCCTCATGTGAAGTGATTTCTGTTCTGCTTTCCCCCCCGCTGGGTGTTCTGCCCATCTGCCACAGCCAAAACGGGGGAAACCTTGGTTCAAGAACTGGCAAATAAAACGCGTGCGGTATGCGAGGGGCATACGTGTGCGTAAACAATTCTTAACAGGACGTGACAGATCTGAAGTAAATCTGACAAGTGAAGCTATTCTGAGCAAACAGGGATTTTCATAGAATCACAGGATGGTTTGGGTTGGAAGGGACCTCAAAGCCCACCCAGTCCCCCCCCCTGCCATGGGCAGGGACACCTTCCATAGCCCAGGTTGCTCCAAGCCTCATCCAGCCTGGCCTTGGACACTTCCAGGGATGGGGCACCCATCCACCGCTTCTCTGGGCAACCTGTCCCAGAGTTTCCCCACCCTCTGCAGGAAGAATTCCTTCCTGATGTCCCATCTCAATCTCCCTCTTTCAATTTAAACCCTTTACCCCTTGTCTTATCCAGACTACTTCCCCCTCATGCCCTTGTTTTACATCTGTGACTTTTCACTCATTTAACACCTTAAACCCAGAGTAAACAGAGGACACAATCCCCCAAAAGCTAAAGATACGCATCTTCTACTAAAAATAGTTGTTTGCCAACTTACAAAAACCCCTGGCAAGCTGTAGAAGGGAAGATCACTTGGGTCTATCATTTTTATCCAAGCAGATCTATTAAGCACGAATATCTGACTTCAGCTTATTCATCCACTGATGCAGGTTGTAGTTAACACTCCCTTCCCTCCCGACATCTGAACAAGTTGGTGACAGGTTCTCCCAGCATCGGGCTGGAAACTTGTGCTTAAGCAAGTAAATGAAGGTTTAAAATGGAGAATTCTCTGGTCACAGCCATCTCCAGCCAAACAAGCTTGAGCATTTCAGGAAAAATAAATCATAGAATCATAGAATGGTTTGGGTTGGAAGGGACCTTAAAGATCATCTAGTTCCACCCCCCCTGCCATGGGCAGGGACACCTTCCACTAGACCAGGTTGCTCCACGCCTCATCCAGCCTGGCCTTGGCCACTCCCAGGGATGGGGCATCCACAGCTTCTCTGGGCAACCTGTTCCAGTGCTTCCCCACCCTCTCTGTGAAGAACTTCTTCCTGATATCTAATCTAATCCTCCCTGATTTCAATTTATACCCATTACCCCTTGTCCTATCACTACAGGCTCTTGTAAAAAGTCCTCTCCCAGTACCCTTGTAGGTCCCTTCAGATACTGGAAAGCTGCAACGTTAAGCGTTCTTTTTTAAATAGCTGTCTAGGAGAAAACAGCAGCAGTTTAAGAAAAGCATCTGAAAGATGAGTTATTCCTTCATACCTCTTATCTGCTAGATCTGTTTTATTTCCCACCAGCATAATGATGACATCGCTGCCCCTTTCCGTTCTGACGTCATCGATCCATTTTGTTGTTTGCTGGAACGAGTTTACATCTGACAGAGAACAGTGGAGAAGATTATCACTGAGTATTCTTCACGGACCACCAGTAAACACATCTCTAAGTCTCAAAAAAGCTTCCTCTTCCCTGGAATTGGCGTAACAGGGTGATGAAGAATCAGCACGTGAAACCCTAAGTCTCCCACGCTGAGGTACATGAGATTTCTGGCAATGATTTCACATGGGCTGGTACTTCAGGTGAATTCAAAGCCAAGGAGTGAACTGAGTGGATGTACAATTTGGTTTTGACAGCATCTAAAATGAGAAAGTCTTATCACTGTGTTTTAGACCAGCTCCCTTTGGTTTTGGTTCGAGAGAAACTATTTTCTCCAGAGAACGGGGATTAACGTGATCTGGCATTCTACACCGCTCGCGACTCGCGCGCTGACAGCGAGAGGTTGCTCCGCTATCGTTGCTTCTCACAAGTACACAAGACCAGCCACACATTTTGTACAGCTTAATCATGTTTTACTTGCTAGGTTCAGGATCTCTTCTAGGAAGTATGAGGGCTATACAACACACTAGCAACTAGTGGTATTCTGCTGGCCAGAGTTACACCACGACAGTATCACTGAACGCTGAGTGCAAAATAGTTTGCAAATCATTTGTCTAGAACCAGAAATATAAATTTAGCCTAGCCACAGACACTTTTTCTTACTGATATATCCTCAAAAATTGCAGGATGAGAATTTTAGGAAGCCATCCCGCCCTAACAAGACGGCGTTGTTTGCGGAGTTGCATCCCGTAAGGAAAAGCGAGCTGTGCAGGAGCTGCCCCGGAGCTCAGTTAGCTTCACAAAGAGAATCTGAGCTGCCAGAGTAGCTGTGGTACTTGTGGGGGGGGCTCTGCAGCATGTCTTCACGAGTATTGATTTTTCTTAATGGCTTTTACCGCATAGTAATAAATTGTATGCCAGACACTCAAGACTTGGTCACTTGCCAGCGTCTTAATTCTTCTCGTTACTACTTGGTAATATCGAATTTGCTAGGTCAGGAAAAAAGATTTCGCAGCTAACCTGTAATTTTAGCTCAAATTCAAGTGCTGGTTTTAACAATTAAAGCTTTTATAAGTAAAATCCGTATTC